CATCAGCAGCACTGAAAATTAGAGGAGGACAAAAACGTGAGAACACTGTACCTGCGTTTCCAGCGCACTTCATTTAGTGTCTCGGCGCGTTACTCCTGGCTACCCGGAGTGTAATTGCCGATTTAGCTCAGTCGGTAGAGCGCCAGCCTTTTAAGCTGGTGGTCGCGGGTTCGAGCCCCGTAGTCGGCTTCTGTATCGGTGTTGTTCTTTTCTTCGAGTACATGGTTCAATATTCTTTTGCTTAACCCCAAACAATAGTGGTTGCATTTTTCCATATTGCCCCTGCTGGTTGCTTCTCTTCCCCTTATTGCCTAGCCGCCTCGCTTCCTACTTTCGTCTACCTACCTCGCTTCCTACGATCACCTACTTACCCCGCTTTCTACATTTGTCTAGCTGCCTTGCGTCTCGTGATTGCCTGGCTGCCTCGCTTCCTACGATTGTCTATGATTTGCAGTATCCCGCAATGTGTGTCAACTATTGGTGCGTACGCATTTTGGATAATTCTGGAGTACGTACGCATATATGTACACATATATGTGCAAGCATATATATATATATATATATACTTATCCTTACACGACCTCTCATCGCATCTACCTACCAAAGGTGATATGCCACGTTTTGCTATTTTGCTGGAGATTCTTTTGAATTTCGCCCCCAGCATCTTCGTATCGAATGCTTCACTCGCCAAGGAAACTTATCTATGACCCACTCCTTCGAAGTGCTCTGACTCTCCCGGTTCATATAAACCGGAAACGAAATATATAGGCAATCAGGAGCCCAGTAGGTCACTAAGAGCCACCTATAGGCAGCAGAAGCAGGAAGGCTTCCTCTTTGGCTTCCGGTCTTCCTAAAAAGGGCAAGAATCAAGCACTTGCTGCAGCACGAGTGGTTTGCTGATGTCTGTACGATTCGCACTGCAGCGCTGGACGAGAATGGCCGGGCTCTATCTCAGCTGTCCGCTCTGCTGCGGCAGCACAAGCGGCAGTAGCAGGAGCAGCTGCTGTTGCCTCTGGTACCGGCTCGCCATCGACAGATCAGTGCCTATTGCTGCAAAGCGCACAAGACGCAGCAGCACTCAAACAGTAAATACGGACTGTACACACAGCAGCGGCAGCAGCACAGCGTCAACATGAGATACGCCGACGACGCCTAGAAACGGCGCTTCTTGTGTTGTACAAGCAGCAGCAGCAGCAGCAGGCGCTGGTGAATATGTACCGAGAATTATTGAAGCAGCAACGACTATTGACAGAGAATGAATAATTGTCAAAGAAAGGAGCTCAGGCATCTGCAACACGCGACGCGCCTGGTTGCGGTGTAGCGGCAGCAACAGCAGCATGCTGTGCAGAAGGTGCAGCAGGAAGTTGCAGAAAAAGGTTTAGAGGGCGAAGGCTACCTGCAGGAACTGCTGTCTTACACACGAGGCTGGCCAGGCTCTCTCGTACAGCAGCAAATGTGCGCATCACGACGGGCAGCCTCCGTTTGCTCGCACGCCCAGCCGATTTAGCTCAGTCGGTAGAGCGCCAGCCTTTTAAGCTGGTGGTCGCGGGTTCGAGCCCCGTAGTCGGCTCTTTTATTGTTCGATACCTCCCAAGGCGCTACGGTTTTGGGTAGAGTGGCAAGCCGCAATAGCTCGTTGGTTACCTCCCTTCCAACGATTTATATACGCATCCCACAAGCCATGTCACAGCTTGATAGTAGAGTATCTGAAAACGCTCTCTCATTGCATCTAGAACAAATTCATACGTTAGGCTTTTACTATTTTCCCGACGATCCCTTCAGCCTTCCCCCTGAGCCTCTACAACCCGAATGCCTCCTACGTAAGGGGAGCCTTGGTAGACTACGCCTTCTCGAGGCACAAACTGCTTACCATTCTCGTCATTGTAGAAAGAGTAGAAAGAGAGAAACATAAGAGTCGGGAAAGAGCCAAGTATTTAAGTAGGATCCATCTTCACCCTTGGGCTTCCTTCAATTAACACTATATGGCGACCACAGGTCACCTGCGAGCGTCCGTAATCAGAGATTAACCAGTCTGAGAGCGGTTGTGGCTCGTTTATGCAAAAAAGGCGAAGACGGGTCAAGGTATAAGCCTAGGGTTTCAATAGTGGAAGCAGCAACCACAAGCACACGAGCGGCGACACCCTACTCCACCGTTCAACGCCGAGGTCTGAGACTTCGGTGAACCCATAAGCAAATGAACTGCATCCAACACAAGGAATATTAAAAAGTAGCAACCCTCAAGAAAAGTTAGCAACAGTATAGCAGTAACGACGACAATAAAGCCACCCGTGACGGCGGTTGCTCTAACAGCAACAGCCTGTGGTGAACTGGGGCTCTCTGTGGCGAGAAGTCGGCCAGTGTAGCTCTACTGAACAGTCATTTTGAGGCATCTCCTTTTCCCGGGTTCTATGGTTGGGATATTGAGAATCACGCTCCGAGACATACCTCGCTCCGTTTTCGGGAAACCTGGGCGGGGCCAGGAGCCCCCAACCTAGCTGGTACATATACAGGAACCCTTCCACAGTGATGACGACACTAGCGACAGCATAGACAATAACATCAGCAACAGCAACGAAGGAAGCACCAACAGAAGACGGAGGATTGCAAATCCCGAGCCACGTGAAACAGCAGCATGCAAAGACAGCTGCACTGCCTCCTCCTAATTCGGTAAAAGAGCAGCATAATACGTCTGCTAGCAGCAGCACTACCAACATCATCACCTATCCCAGTAGGAGTGCCAACACCGGCAGCGGTACGGACAAGTCGACGAGCACTCGCAGCACCAGACCAGCAGCAGCCGCGAAACTTGCAGCAGCAGCACCGTGACCAACCGCTGCAACGAAGAAAACGCCAGTCGCAGGAATAGCAGCACTGAAAATAACAGCGTCAGGAGGTTCATCAGTGGCAGCAAAGGCACCTACGGCAGGACGGAGGGACAACCGATGCAGCAGTATTAAATACCGTGAGCAATGCTCTGCAGTTTCTTCGGCAGCCTAGAAATAACAGCCTTTTAACGTATGCAGCAGCGGATGGAGGTCAAGCAGACAGCAAGTACGGCAGACGTGTAGCGAGTAGCGCTTGACACCCCAGCGGCAATGGCTACGCGTCATATCGCTGCAAGAGCAGGTGCAGCAGCAGCATCAGCAGAATTTGATGCGCCGCGAGAACCCAAGGCAGCAGGTGCAGACGCAGCAGCAGGAGGGCTTCCGCTTTGGCGCCAGATCTTTCTACGAAGGGCCAGAATTAAGCACTTGCTGCAACACGAGTGGTTTGCTGATGTCTGTACAGCTCACGCTGCAGCGCTGGAGGAGAATCGCCGGCTGCTAGCCAACCATGCGTCTATCTTGGCTGTCCGCTCTGCTGCGGCAGCACAAGAGGGAGTAACAGCAGCAGCTGCTGCAGCTGCTGGCACCGGCTCGCCGTCGACAGATCAACGCCTACTGGTGCAGAGCGCCCAAGACGCGGCAGCTCTCAAACAGCAAGTACGGGCTATACAAGCAGCAGCGGCAGCAGCACAGCGCCAATATGAGAAGCACAGACGGCACCTAGAAACGGAGTTGCTTCTCCTACAGCAGCAGATACAGCAGCAGCAGCAGGTGCTCGCAGAGAAAGACCGAGAACTACTGCAGCAGCAACGACAGTTGCGAGAGAAGGAGGAGGAAGTGTCAGAGAAGGAAGCCCAGGCAGCAGCAACACGCAGGACGTGTTTGCTGCTGGTGCAGCAACAGCAGCAGCAGCAGCAAGCTGTGCAGAAAGCGCAGCAAGAAGTTGCAGCAAAGGCCCTAGAGACTGAGGGCTACCTGCGGGAGCTGCTGCGCTACAAGCAAGCGGAAGCAGCCTCTCTCGAGCTGTTGCAGCAGCAGATGCGCTCAGCATCACCGGCAAACGCCGATCATGCTGTTGCCACCTATACTCCTGCGTGTGCGTCAGCCAGGGGCATTGCAGTGGAGGGTGCTCCTGCGTGCGCCAGGCAGCAGATTCAGCCAGCAGCAGAGGCAGTGAGGGCCGCAGTTGTTGCTCATGCGGCTGCTGCACCCGCTTCAGCTGCAGCCCGGGCGGCTGCAGCAGCTACGTCGGAAACAAATGCTGGTGGTAAAGCGTGTAGCAAGGGCAGTAGCAGCAACCGCAGCAACAGCGGGGCTAGCAGAGGAGCTGCGGGGGAAAGCCGGCCGCCTCTGCGACTGGTGCATTCGGATCGACTGCACGCCGGAGCAGCCCTCTGTTGCTGCTGCTCGCCGACAGCAGCTGCAGGAAACGCGTCAGCAACAGAGCTGTTCATCTCTGGTGGTGCAGACGGAACCCTTGCTGTGCGAGCCGCTGCCTCTAGCAGAAACGTCTACACATTCATCCCCTCTCCGCTGTGGGCTGCATGCACTGCTGTTGATTTGCTGCTGCGGCAGCAGCCATATGCTCAAGTGCAGCAGGAGGTACAACAACAGCAGGAAGCTGTGGTGCTGGTAGGTTGTATAGACGCCGCTTTGTACGTAGCGCAGCTGCCTAGAGGGAAGGTGGTGGAGACTCTCAAAGGCCACGGAGGCTCTATTGTTGCATGCGGCTTCATACAGCCTCAAGGAGACACAGCAGCAGCAACGGCAGCAGCATCAACATCACCAGCTGCTGCTGCGTGGAGCGTGGGGAATGACAGGTCAGTGCGTCTGTGGGATCTACACCGCAGCGCATGCAGCCGCGCTGCTGTGCTCTTCTCGCGCCCGACAGCAGCAGCAGCAGCTGAAAGAGGGCTGCTACTGGTAGGTCACCGCAACGGAACACTTGGCGTTTTCAGTCCGTCCAGCCCATGCAGCGGTAACAGCAAGAGCAGCAGCAGCAGCAGTTGGTCTCCAGATATTGTCTCTTCTGCAATGCACAACTCGGAGGCCATCGTGGGCGTGGCTATATCCCCAGACAGATACACTGTATGTACCCTTGGAGAGGACAAGACGTTGCAGCTCTTGGACCTACGAATGCTGTTGCAGCACCGGCAGGAGCAACAGGCGGTGCTGACACACCCTTTGTTGCGCCGCAACACGGTTGTTGCTTCCCCGTGTTTCTCCCCCTGTGGCCGCATGCTAGCAGCGGCTACTGGCAGCCACCTCCTCTTGTGGGACCTGCAGAAGGCCGCGGGTGTTCACACGGCAGCAGGAGCAACATCCGATATTCTGGGAAGCCGCAACACTGGCCAGGACGGAGTCGGCGAGGATCTGTCGGCAGTTCGCCTGCAGCAGCTTCAACAGATGAACGATGATAGGCTGCTCTCAGTGCTCCACTGTGCTGATGCAGAAATTTGCTGCCTGTCGTGGAGTAGCGGCAGTAGAAGATTGTTTGCAGGCTGCAGAGATGGTGGAGTGTTCGTTTGGGAATAGTGGGTGAACTTGAGCGGAACGGCATGCTGTAGCTGCCGCAGCAAGATCTGCAGGAGCCAAAGAAATATCGCTTGCTGCGTGTTGAATGCAGTCGCAGATACTGCCAACAAACGGAGGCAGTTTGCTGGCTTAGGTTTGTAGTCCAGCTGCAGCAGAAGCAACAGCAGCAGGAGCCTTGATGCCCTGCACGCGGGCGGCTGGCCGGCTCCAGCGAGGCGGAGCCGCCCAAAGGCATCGGGTATAGCTGGGTTCGCTTGCCTGTTGCCTTCTTTTTCGCGGTGAGAATGGATGATTGGGTGACCGCTTTGTTGGAGCATATGATGTTTCGCGGATATGTTGAGCAAGTCAACACTAGGTCAGTTCTTTGCTCCATCCCTCACTTCAGCCTGCCTAAACCCCATGCTACACCTGAGCGTAGGGTCGTTAGTGATTTTAGATTTTAGATGGCTGAGTGATTATCTAAAACCGTTTGACTGTGAGAATGCGCGGCCTTTGTCATCGGTTGAATGCACACAAGCCTCACAGTTGTCCGCAAGCGATAGTGAGGATGGTTTTTATCACATTGAAGTACCAACGCAATACCCACCGTATTCTAGTGATTCAATATAATGGTCAGTGGCACAGATATGTGCGAATGCCCCAAGGGTTTACGAACAGTCCAGCCATATTCATACGCTTCTTCAATAAAGTCATGCCTGATGATCGGTATAAGTAACAATATGGATGACGTAAATGATTTTGATATGAAAAGTGACGAGTTGAAAGGGAGCACTGAGCGACATGGACTAAAAGTAAATAGTAAGAAAACATGATTCTCGTGCCGGAAAGGTACCGGCCTTAGATAAAATGGTTTCTTACCTAAATGGGCAGTGCGTGCTAGGGCCTGATCCTAAAACATCATAGACTAATGAACACCATCGATCTAATGCAGAGATATCCCACCCAAAGATGCGCCTACAGGCTATCTGGGCTTGTTCAGTTCGTCGGAGCCTTCATTCTCTCCACATCGGATCTACGGATCTACACGATTTGTATAGACAAATTCATGCACGAGACTGGAGACTGGAAGGAAGAAATCGAATGGGAACATTTTACGCCCTCATGGCCGTTCAAAATACAGTGCCCAGTTGGAGGCCTCATTGTGGCATACTTCAACATTTCTGAGAAAGGATGCGGGCTTGCTGTATCAGTAAGAGATGCAGTTGAACAGCAACTTTCCTGTATCCGAGCAAGCGAAAAATGGTTCCAAACGGCAGATACATACCGACAACAAGCACCAGGGTGGGTGGAAAGGTGATTACTCGGAGTAGAAGCTAAAGATTGGTCTACCGACAGCCTTCCTATCGTGCAAGCACGATAAGGACAATACTTTCAACATTGAAGAATACCCGCCAAGTAAGCCTTGGAAACATAGCATAGGGCAATTATTACTAGAGCTAGAAAACCTTTTTGAATATTTAGAGTAATTGCTTTTTCTGAGGTTAGAACTCCATAACCTAGAATAACATGCCCTTGGATATAACAATCTAGCACACCAACCATCACGACCCCTACACCACGGTCTCCCAGTGATACCCTTGCGAAGATGATATACTAATATACTTACAGTGGGCGGAAGAAATGAGTACAAAGAGCGGAAAAGAGTAGAAGAGTTTTCCCTCCCTAGCACGCTTCAACACCCGGGTGCCACAAGGGGGCACCCACGCGCAGCGCGCTCGAGTCTGGCCAGGTGCAAAAGCACCTGGTGAAACTGTAGCGCGCTGCACACGAGCGGAGCGCCCGAGACGCTCCCACCATCTCCCCGGCCCTTCCTTGAGCGAAAGGACCAAACCACCTGCAAGCGAAACGGGAAATGGGAGAGACCTCCGTTGTCTGGAAGCGGCAAGGCTTCAAAAAGTGGACGATGAAAAGTTTTGCGAACAGCCTTGTCGGCAATTATGGAGGTTCCTATGGTAGCATCACCCCCTCGTAAGGTACAAGTTGTTGACGAAACTATAATATCCTTATTGCCTGGCACTTAAACTGCCCTTTTAACAACGAACTTTTGAATATGCTTATTGCAAGGGCAGCAGGCCGTGAAGTGTCATCAAACTTTTCGGGGTATATGGATAAAACTTCAAGTACAACAACATGTGGACCCATTTGCGTCTGCAGGCACCTCCGCGCACATTTCTACTAGTCGCGGTGAGTGGTATCCCGTAGAAGTTCTCTTGGGACGAGTACTACCCGTTTCGGTGAAGTAACTTGGTGCAGGTTCTCAGGGTTACCGAACTGCAGGCGTGCACCAGCATACGAAAAACAGGAGGAAGCGTATAGCAGATATGTGTGTGGGCGCAAAAGAACGTTGGCAGCGAGCGCTGTTCCTATTCACTCCAACTTGCTCATAAGCTCTGGGCGGGAGGAAACAGCTACTTGGAAACTCTAAGCGTCCAAAACATAACATAGGCGTACCTAAAGAGGAACGCTGTCTGAGAACCTGTATAATGATAGGAATATGTGGCTCTACGGGGAACGGTACACGAAGAGGCAACGGACGCTTAGGAAAAGCTTTTGTCATTCACTACACAGCGCTTCTATTCCTGGTGCAGAATGCAGCGCTGCAGGAGACCGGTCATGCTTCAGTTACCGTGCCAGCCGCAGCGACGCCGGTGTCATTGGAAATAGTGTGGGTACTCTGGTTTTTAGCGGGTCGGCAGAAACCCGGCGGGCAGTATTGGTCTAGTAGGGTTCAAGCACGCTTGCTATTGCCGCCATATGCGCAGTCCGTGATGCTGCTACTCTTATTGAGAGAGGCAGGCACAGGGCGAGAGCAGTGTTGTCCTGGAGAAAAGTAGACAAAACGTCTTCGAAGGCGGGAGGCCAGACAAAAAGTAATTGGAGCTTACCGCACAAGGGGCTGCCTTTCTCCTAGCGGCATTTGGCAAACAGCCAAGGCTGCTGCATTCGCTGCGTGTAAGCAAGAGTGCCGATGATTTTGCAGTGGGTGAACAGTGCAGGCAACGAATTAGCGTATGAGTTGACAGGAGCCTTGGGGGAGAGGCAAGGGCCTGCCGCACTAGAGCCTGTGGGAGCCCCCAGGAGCTACAGCTGGCTAGCAAAGGTCGACTTTCAAACATCCAGCTTGCTGCTCTCCCAATGACTGAGTGCCAAATAAGGAAACGCTGCAAGGTGAATGTTGTTGGCTCGGAGCTACGGAAGGGTGGATGTGCTGGCCGTGCATCAAGTCGACGGATAATGGTATTTAAAAGGAAGATGAACATCTGTGGCGACGGAAGTTGAGGCGCCGCACTTGCTCATTTAATCGTAAGATAGACTCAGGAACTGCGCGACATTAAACCTGCAGGCCTATAGAACTCAAAAAATGAATACTTGATTGATGATGTGCCTTCGCACACAGCGACCGTGGAAGTGCCTTCGCACACAGCGGGGGTTAAGAATTATTCGCGAAGTGTAGGGTTTATATATTGAGTGCAAAACTAGTACGTATGCCTAAGGCTGATAAGTAGTTGCAGCATAGAACGCTGTTCACTACACCTTCTGCGGAGGCTTAAAGGGCGACCCGACAAAACCACTAAACAACTCCTTCACAACTCCTTCTGTACGGAAGCCTTGACAGATCTTCGTCAGGTGTGTTACGGACTGATGCTGGGTTTGAATGGGGAACGTTTAACCATATAAGTAATGTCGGCAGCTCTTCGCCCCCCACCAGACCGCGTGGTGCTCGCTCTCGCACACCGGATACTTTGGCTGTGCTTACGTGAAACGGTGTGAGTAGCTGGCGTCCACCTTTTTATGAACTGTCAGCTTGCTCAGACAGCACTACACCAACCGCTGCGTCACTGGCGGCAGATGTTTGGAAGAAGGATTCGTCGGTGTCAAGGGACGCAAGTGCTCGATGGCAAGTATCTGAAAAGAAGCACCTTGCCGCTTCTTCTACAATCTCTTCCCAATTAAGGTTTTTGCCCTTGCTGAGTAGATCTGTTAGAGAGGTGGCAATGAAAGCGATCCACTGTCGAAGTCGTACGACCTAAGCCAAGGAACTTTTAAGTTTGGTATGAACGCACAGGCGACTCCCCAGGGGCATGACAGAGGAACTAAAAGTCCGCGAGAGTGTGCAGGACAATCACCCACCGAATGTACTCATGGGCCGCCTTCACACCTTATCTCTTCCTTCTAAGGTAGGACCGCCAATTTGCTCTTTGTTCCCTTAGTTCCCTGTGCGCAGTCCAAACACTCAATGGTTGCCACTCTCCGGGGGAAAGAAAGCCCGGCAATGAGCCATTGATACTGAAGCCTGGAATCCACCGTAAGAGTTCTGTTTACGAAGAGCTGCTACTTATCGATATATAGGCAAGTAAATAAGTTTTCCTTGTTCAGCACTTCTCAATTCTGGCGTATCCTGTCCCCCTGCCTACGTGGGGACAAACCTGTTCGCAGTGCCTAGGACAGCTTCCACAGTCCAGATGTGCTCCAGAAGAGTAATGCCAGTGCTTAGGCAGACCTGCAATTGCTGCGCTTCCCCTTCTTTAAAGCAAAATGCCAACAGCAAATGTAGCCCTTCAGGTGCATGTTGAAGAAGAGTACACATTTTGAAAGGCCGCCTTCGCACTGCGACACCCGTCATACCTGGACACAAGCAAAAAGGGCGCCTTCTCTATGAATGGTTTACGCAATAAAAGCACCTTCGGCTCGACGGGATGGTGGTACCGCGATCTTTCCTATGCAACGAGGCTCCCAGCCGTCTGCCGCCACTTCACGAGAGACCACACTCTGATCAATCAATTTTCGATTATTTGAGAAAGGAAAAAACCAGACTTCTGACGAACCATATGGGCATAGTATCTAAAGTTGTTTCCCCTACATTACAACGGAGCTCCCTCTCAAATCATCAGTGCTATGCTCCAGACCGGGCTGCTGCTTTGGCGGGCAGCTGGCGTCTCTCGAGTACGCGGTGTTGCCAAGTATAACGCGAGTCCGCGATCTTGCGGAGGCCCGACGTG